AAATGTTAACAAGACAATAAATGAATGTTTAACTCCCTTTCTTCTGGTATCACTTAGTTTTATCACCTTTTGGAAATGTTAACAAGACAATAAATGAATGTTTAACTCACCTTCTTCTGGTAGCACTTAGTTTTATCACCTTTTGGAAATGTTAACAAGACAATAAATGAATGTTTAACTCACCTTCTTCTGGTAGCACTTAGTTTTATCACCTTTTGGAAATGTTAACAAGACAATAAATGAATGTTTAACTCACCTTCTTCTGTTCTTCTTTGGTTTTCTTCATAGCTGAACTCTGAGAAGCTGCTACAAGTGTATTGTTTTTTTTTAAGGCAGCAGGATTAAACACAGTTCGTGACAGATTTCCAGATGATGAAAAAACAACACACTAAAAAAGAAATGAGATTGGTTTGACTGATTCAAAATCCAAATAAAAGAAAATTTAAAGCAATTATATACCCTCATAAACATTTTCCATTTATATCTATATATATCTTACACATAAACTATTACCAATTAATCTTTACAAAGTAAAAATTCCTGTAGAAATCCTATAAAAGTCAGCATGATTTTTAAAACATTCTAATGCTGAACTTAAAAAAGGACATTTGTTTGTGAGACAAAAATATCTAAAAGAAATAGTTAATCATATCTGGTGCAAACAATAGTAATAACATGCAAACACTAATAGACAGACACTAGAGATGGATATTTAAAACATACATACTCTTTCTGCGCCATCTTCTGCTGTCGCATTTCCTGGCGGTTTATTATTTACAGTCATGTTGTTAATTTTGGTGTTACCAGAATTCCCGAGTTTGTCCTTAACATTTGATTTCTCTGACGGTAAATGTCTTTTATCCTGGTTACTCTGATTACTCTCTTTATTATGCCAGAATACTTTAATAAACCTGTTGTTCAGAACTGCCTCAGTGTTCCTGTATGCAGAATTGGCTTCCATGTGACTAGAATACTGGACCAAAGCAGCTTCAGGGTCACCACTGTAACACACCTGGCAACATAGGAATTTAATTTGTATTATGAAAATATGACACAACTTTCTGTTAACCATATGATTAGGTAACTTATATTCATAAGTTTATACATATAAACACTTGTGAAGCTTAGCTATTACACCTCTTTTCCTTTTCTTATCCAATTTCCACAACTATACTTCACTAGTATACATCCACTTACCTACTGTACTGCAACAGACTGGTGAACCTCTAAATAAATCTGAATTCTTAAACCCTTTACAGAAGTTTAATTGAACTTAAAACAATTTTAAATGTGGGTGGATTAACAAGTCAAAGAAAAATAATAACTAGGTAACTATAAATTCCTAATTTCACAATGAACAGTTTTCAACATTTTTATTGCAATAAGTTCCAAAACTATAAACTATTTTTTTAAGTTACTTTTAAGTTTTCACTGTATTAACTAACTAAAGAAAAATGTAAAGAGAATGATATAAAGAAAAATTATCCTCTTATTCAATATCTAATGAAAGTATTATTTGTTTTACTCTTTCCAAGTTATCAAAAAGTACCTAAGTTTTCTATTGGGTAAAATGGTTAAACTAGTGAATTTACTGAAGTATAACCAATTTTCTTAGTATTTTAAATAATTCAATTCATATAAAGTTATTATGAAGTATTAAGTACCACAGCTAAGTTATTATGAAGTATTAAGTACCACAGCTAAGTTATTATGAAGTATTAAGTACCACAGCTAAGTTATTATGAAGTATTAAGTACCACAGCCAAGTTATTATGAAGTATTAAGTAAAACAGCTAAGTTATTATGAAGTATTAAGTACCACAGCCAAGTTATTGTGAAGTATTAAGTAAAACAGCTAAGTTATTATGAAGTATTAAGTACCACGGCTAAGTTATTATGAAGTATTAAGTACCACAGCTAAGTTATTATGAAGTATTAAGTACCACAGCTAAGTTATTATGAAGTATTAAGTACCACAGCTAAGTTATTATGAAGTATTAAGTACCACAGCTAAGTTATTATGAAGTATTAAGTACCACAGCTAAGTTATTATGAAGTATTAAGTACCGCAGCCAAGTTATTATGAAGTATTAAGTAAAACAGCTAAGTTATTATGAAGTAACATATACTGCAGCTACTTTTAATTGATAATACCTGCTGATACAAAAAAATTATATTACTATTAGGTCGTCAAGAAATTAATGTTGCTTTTTTTTAGATGAAAAAACTCGAACAACTTGTATATCAAAACAAAACATTTATTAAATGTAATAGTCTCCATTCTTATTGATGATGCTTTTCCATCTTACAATCAGATTGTTAATGCCCTGATTAAATAAATCACTTGGCTTTGAAGCAAAATACATGTTGATGTCCTCTTTAACATCTTACACATTTGCATACATCTTCCCATTAAAATGGTGTTGCAGCGAACGAAAAAGATGGTAATCTTATGGTTCCATATCTGGAGAATATGGTGGGTGGAGGGCAACTTCCCAACCTAACTCCATAATCTTGTGTTGCGTCAAACATGACACATGTTGACGTGCATTGTCGTGGAGAAGGAGTACACCTTTCCGATTGACGAGTGAAGGGCGTTTCTGAT